ACAGTGTTTGACCACATTTCCAAACACCTCGATGTTCGTCAAAAATACTCCGCTACACGTCGTATTTTCAACTCTCTTCTAGGCGTTTGGAAATGTGGTCAAACACTGTCTTTTGTGTTTGATATATTACTTCCCATATGAATTCACAAATCAGTGGTCACAGACTTGTTCAATTATTATTCACTGAGTACAAGGTAACAACCACGGCTTGTACAATCAATGTTTATTCAGCTCACATACATTTAAACTATTAAAAAGTAAAGTACAACACTATTAAGGTGAGTTACAGATATACAAAATGTTGAATATTGTACCAGCAAAATTAAGTATTCACTGACTGTCTTTCAGTAATGACTGCTTAGATTGTTCATACTGCAGTCTCGAGAAACATATTTCTTTTAGTTAAATGCCACTAAAGGTAGGCTAACTTTAGTACCATCCAAATTGTTATGGCCAATTCCACTGATCTGCTGGTGGAGGATTTTGCAGGGGTTCCCATGGTTGCCACTCTTGCATTTTCTTGGCTAAAGAGAACTCATCTTCAGCCTTCAAATGGAAGAAAAGTCTGATAATTATTATGTGGAACAAAGTCCTGAAATGTACAGCTTGGAAAAAAGTAACCACCAAGTAAGGTTAGAGGAAGTAACTACATGTATAGTAATTTTATTATTATAACCATCATCAGAAATAATGTGATTTTGAGAGTCAGAGAGATCAGCACAAAATATCGAATTTTTAAACATATACATGTAAGATCAGTCCTCAGACTTTCATTGAATTTCAATTCATTTTGTTGGAATTGCATTGCTCATCAGCTTAACAGTTATAATAATAATAATAATAATAATAATAATAATAATAATATTAAATAATTATATTTTAATATTATTTGTCACCTGTTTAATAACTTCTTCAATTTGTCCAGCTCCAAGTTTCTTCTCCAGTGTTGGTATGTCATTCTCCTTAACAAAATCCATACAAATTTTATATTTCTAAAGGCCACTAAATGATACTTAGTTCAAACTAAGGCAGTGAGAGGGGTGGGGGGAGGAGGGGTCATTTCTGAGCTGGTTTTTTTCAGGGTCCTACTGTACACATGCCAAGATTTCAATACACCTTTTTTTTTGTCATATTGGCAACCTGTCAATCTACATTGCATTACACCACAAACAAATTTAACAAAATCCCATACTATTGAAGATAATACTGAATAACATAACTGTGCAACTAAATGACCAATTCACCTCTTTGAGAGAGAGAATTATGGCCTCAGTGGACTTCAATCAGCAGCAAAAGAGGTTTTGCATTTGCTCCATAGTCACAATAGCCCATTGTTTGGATTAGGAGCATTTGAAATTGTAACAGGATTCTAACCAACCAGCAGTCTAAACTGACCGTACCTGCGCTACAAGACTTAGTCTTTGTTTGGTGATCTGTTCTGTATGTACTCTGTACTGAGCACTTTTTGGCATGCTTCCCAACACCTGTAGTGTCTCTTTATATAGTTTTGTAAGGGTCTGTCAAGAAAGAAAGTAAAATCATAACGTGTTCCTTGCGCACTCAATTGCTTATTTTCATCAACAATTATTGCAGATAATTGTCAGCAACTGGTTTGGCATCAGGAGCTCTCTATACTGTAACAGACCACATCTAAACAGATTACTGGCCCTTCAGGCCAGTGCTTGTCTTCAGATTCAATGAAATGAAGCAACTAATAGTATTTCTATGTCCCCTTGGAATGGAATGCTAGTCCATCTCGGGGTTATCCGCAGCCCCAGGGTGGGGACTCCTATATAAAAAGAACAGGGGTGCTCGTTGTACCCATCAGGGGTTAAGAAATTTCAAAATTTCTGACGACCACCCCTGTCCTTTTTATACGCCTCTCCCGGCCCCCAACATTAGCTTTGCCGATACCCATATATACACCTGGGTAGAGCAAGGCACTTTGAAAGTAAAGTCTCTTGCTCAAGAACACAATCACCCCAAAAAGGACTTGATTCCAGAATGCTCTGCCAAAGTCCAGTACACTACCCATTACACACTGTGTTTCCCACCATCTAAACAAAAGTTTTTCAAAATGAAAACTATCAGGAATCATTCAAGATGGCTTTTAGTTCAGATTAATGATTAACCTCAGCTGTGGGTGGACGTGAGGAAAGCAACACCAAAACTTATCTTACCTCTCTTGGCGCTTTGGAAACTGCCAAACCGACCAATGCTGTTGACTACAAATTAAATCAAAGGTCATTACAGTCATGTTTTCAAATGGGGGCAACCTGGGGGGG